TTAAGTAAAATGAAAAGTTGGAACAACATAGGTACAGATTTCCCTTTCTAGTAATAAAACCAGTGGTACTCAGTTTTTTTTTTTCTTTCTCAAGAGCGGTTCTTATTTTCATTTATTTAGGAAATTCGCCCCTGGATTTGTAAGAAATTATAGATGCTTTCATAGGAATCGATGACATAAAAAGGTAGTACTGATGTCTTTATTATACAGCTATGAAACTTATACTGGTTCGACTCTTCATTTTTCTTGGGAAGTGTATGTCTTACATAACTAGTGTATATTGGATACGGGTATGAGATATGATCTTCCAAGTACATTAAAATATTGAAAAAAGTTGAACATATCTGTACCAGACACATATCCGTGTCCAACACTCACACTCAGCGTTGTAAGAATTTAGAAGAGAGCATTTTGTTGATATAGGAGGGTTGTTTAAGTGTTTCTATGACATTAGTAGATATATTTGTTGGTTTAGGATCAGCACTTGGTCTAATCCGAACCTATTCTTTGACTGAAAGATGTTTCCTTTTCCAGCCCGGAGATAGTAAAACCGTTGTGCTAGTCAGCATTGGTGGTAACCGAGTGATCAGAGGAGGAAATGGAATTGTTGATGGCCCTGTCGACACCGCCAATATCGAAACAGTGATGGAAACTATAAGGAGTAAAGGTTATGAGAATATGGAGGACACAAATGCTAGGTTTTAACTTGAGCTAGAAACTTATTATCGTCTTGTTTTACTTCAATCTTATTTCACCAAAAGAATTTCTTGATTAGCAAGCATCGTCTACTTAAATACAAAAACATTGATGCCTTGACTTATTTGCAGCGAAGGCGAGACTGGACAAGATTCTGATTTTACCGCAACGATTTCTTCTGAGGCATATGCTAACATGTATGGCCCTACTACTGGTGACATGATCCGGCTCGGCGATACGAATTTGTATGCTGAAATAGAACGGGATTTTGCTGTATATGGTGATGAATGCGTATTTGGTGGCGGAAAAGTTATAAGAGACGGCATGGGACAATCATCTGGGCATCCACCAGAAAAATCTTTAGATACTGTTATAACAAGTGCTGTGATTATTGATTACACTAGTATATTCAAGGCAGATATTGGTATTAAAAATGGCGTAATTGTTGGACTTGGGAAAGCGGGCAATCCGGATACCATGGATGGAGTTTCGCCAAACTTGATCATCGGTGTAAGTTTTTTCTTTCTTCATATGAATGCATTGTCCTAGTATAATTATACTAATGTCTGATACCATCGACTCTCAGGTTAACACTGAGGTTATTGCTGGAGAAGGATCGATCGTAACTGCAGGGGCTATCGACTGTCATGTGCACTTCATATGCCCTCAGTTGGTTCATGAAGCTATTTCAAGTGGTAAGCTACATTTTCAGGCATACTTGGCTAAAGGTGTTACCGAAATACGTAACATGCATAAATCTTACATATCGTTATGGTGCAAGAGAGTTATTAAAGGGACAACATCCATGTTACATAAATACTTCAGGAAAAAAAGTGAAGAGTCGGATTAATATAGATTATAGAATCATGTATCTTTATCAAATATTTAATGTAGGCATCACGACATTAATTGGAGGTGGGACTGGACCGGCGGAGGAACACGCGCAACTACTTGCACACCGGCACCGTCGCAGATGAAAATGATGCTGCAGTCCACTGATGACTTCCCTTTAAATTTTGGGTTCACAGGGAAGGTAAGATTATTATTTTTGCATAATTTATTCAACCCCTTTTTTTCTTGTTAATCCATGCATAACACAAAACATGTATGATACATACATGTACTCATATCCAGCATTCACACCTTCGTTATCATTAGAGTTTTCCATTGCAACCAAATATTATTTTTTCTTACTTAGGGAAATGGTTCCAAACCCGAAGAACTGCATGAAATAGTCAAAGCTGGAGCAATGGGATTGAAGCTGCATGAAGATTGGGGAACTACTCCTGCTGCAATAGACAATTGTTTAGCTGTTGCAGAACAACATGATATCCAAGTCAGACAAACAAGAACGCCAATTCTTTCCCTTTTTTTTTAAATTACATTTTTAACGATAAACTCGTTTTGAATATCGATTGTTTTTTGGCAGGTTAATATTCATACTGACACCTTGAATGAATCTGGATTTGTGGAACACACAATTGCTGCATTTAAAGGAAGAACTATTCATGCTTATCACAGGTATAAATATCTTAGCTAATGGCTTTAAATTTTAGCTTGAATTCAGTCCTATTTGAGTATAAATATCTTTCTAATTTCAGAAGTAGTTAAGAGTCCTATTTGAGTTCTATTGATGTTCATGATTGATGTAATTTTCGGCAGCGAAGGCGCCGGTGGTGGTCATGCTCCGGATATCATCAAAGTATGCGGCGGTAAAAATGTTCTCCCCTCATCAACAAACCCGACACGCCCTTATACTTCCAATACAGTAGATGAACATCTTGACATGCTGGTATGAGAAAATAACAGTGATGTTACTTGAAGTCTTGAACTCGGATGAATGTCGGTATGCTCGATTCTTTTTCCATTCTCATGCATTCCTATCTTTGCAGATGGTTTGCCATCATCTCAACAAGGATATTCCTGAAGATGTAGCGTTTGCGGATTCAAGGATCAGGGCCGAAACCATAGCCGCCGAAGACATATTGCACGACATGGGGGCAATCAGCATTATATCTTCCGATTCGCAGGCTATGGGTCGCATCGGCGAGGTTCATTTCTCATTTTGCATGTGCTTATAAGACAAAACTGGGAAATTCCAAGATCGAAACGAGGAAACAAGTTCAAATTCTTTCTTTCCAGGTGATAAGCAGAACTTGGCAAACAGCGGACAAGATGAAATCGCAAAGGGTCCTCTTCATAACGAAGAAACTTCTTCTAATCTAAGAATCAAACGGTACATTGCAAAATACACCATAAATCCAGCCATTGCTAATGGCATTGCAGAATTCGTCGGTTCGATCGAGGTATATCATTTTCTCTGTATATGTTGAAATATCCAGCTCTATAGATGATGACTGCATTCATATCCGTTGGATTTATCGTCACTAAATTTGACTTACATTGGCTATAATATATGAGTTTCATCTTTCAGGTGGGGAAGTTGGCTGATCTTGTTTTATGGAAACCGGCCTTCTTTGGGGCAAAACCCGAAATCGTAATCAAAGGCGGTATTATTGCTTGGGCTAACATGGGAGATGCTAATGCAAGCATCCCAACACCCGAACCGGTAAAATTCCGATTTCATACCTGTACAAATGCCGATGTTTGTTTTCGATTCGTATTTAGACATGAGCTCGAAGATATGACTCTTCAATACATGAAAAAACTTCCCAAAACATGGATTACATAACCGATAATCGCACCTGAATGTAATGAGATCAATCGAAGAAGATTACTTGAGCACTTTTATTAAAGATATGAGTTGTTACAGGTGTTGTCAAGGCCAATGTTCGGAGCATTCGGCAAGGCTGCAAGTGCCAACTCCATCGCTTTTGTCAGCAAGGCATGAATCTCTCTCTTTCTATCATTCATATATATATATATATATACAGGTTTAGGATCTACTTACACCTAACGTAAAACCAAGAATTTTACACATTTTTAGGACCGTTTGATTGTGAGATATCAAAGATTGAGATTAACTCATTGTTTTTTTTCTTCTAGTGAATATCTTCTCATTTCCTCTTGTTAATCTCAACCTTTGATTTCTTTCATCCAATGGTCCTAAAAAAATAAAAAATAAATAAATAACTCTTAATTTTACACTAAGTGTAAATGAATCATGACTTTTATATATATATATATATATATATATATATATATATATAATTTTTGGATGAATTTAAATAGATTTTTCATAAAATTTAAAAAAGAAAAAAGATAATATTAATATACAAAGTTTTATTCTCAACCATCTATTTATTTAGTTAGATTCATCCAATTATATTTTCATAATAATTAATGAATTTTACACCATGTAAGTAAATTTTACCATACATAAACACATATCAACATTCACTTATACAATATAAAATGTAGAAATTTTACACATTTTCTGGATCGTTTGATTAAATGAGTTTAATGCATGAAACTTTTAAATATACTCTTTCTTTTTTTATACGAGAATCTCACTTCCTATTACAAATCTTAGCTATTCATTTTTATTCATACAACGATCCAAAATATGTATAAAACTTTTAAGTTTTATATTGTGCAAGTGCATACCAAACCAAACGATTGTCGTTTTATCAATGTTAGATACACATGTATATGTAGGGGGTAGGATCCATATATATATATGTCTATACACATACATGGATTAGCACTCGGTTACATCGTATAAAATTTAGAAATTTTACATGTTTTTTTAATAGTTTGATTAATGCCATAAATAACTGAACTGGTTTTGAAAAAATCAAATCAAACATTTTTGCATTATTATCCAAACCATTAAACCCGAATTTAAACCGGACCAAATATTACAGTTGATTTCAGTTTAAGGGTTTCTGTGTTACATTATACGTTGTGTTGTGAAAAAACAGGCTGCTTTGGACAGCGGAGTTGCGGAGTCCTATGGAGTGAAGAAGAGAGTGGTAGCTGTCAGCAATACCAGATGTCTAAGCAAGCTCGACATGAAGCTCAATGATGCTCTCCCTCATATTCAGGTGGACCCCGAAACTTATGTCGTGATGGCCGATGGCGAGGTTCTCACGTGCGATCCCGAGGCGACAGTTCCCCTCTCCCAGAACTATTTCCTCTTCTAGATAACGCTCAAACTGTCAAAGCCATCGTTTCAATAGAGTTTTTTTGGTTCCGTTAGTCTGGTTATTAAACCTGACACAGACGTGAATTAAGTTTTAAACATTACGCCTAATGCTCAAGTAAACTTGATTAAAACGTTACTGATAATTTAGCAGCTCAATTAGAATATTTTGAAATTTGGGAACCAATTCAAAATCTAGACATAGTTTGGGAATATTGGGTGCAATTAACTGGATGATAAATGAATATAAGGGGAGAGGATAACGTATGTAAGAAAACCCTATCCTAGCCGTAAGGTTGTAAAAAGGTCTAATTTATAGTTCCAGCCCTCAACAATCTTCAACCTTGAGATTTAATCCCTCAACTTTAGTGCAATTTATGTCCAACTTTGACAGCAGCAACTAACAGGGTTATCAATTAGAGTTCTGCAAATAACATCATAAAAACAGACCGATCAAACAGCCGTAGAAAACTAAAATTGGAAGAGAAAATCTAAGAAATTGTAATAGACCAAAGTTTGCATGGTACCTCCACAAGGGACAAACTAATTGGAAAGTTGGATAAAATCCAGAATATGCAGGCAATCAACCTCCTCTACCTGCTTGCTTTGAAACTGAAGCTAGTCATAAAAGGATTCCAGACCTGATTATAACTTGGATCACCTAGACCATAAGTGAAATATATCAAAATCTATACTTTCTTCCCCAGAAAACCTAAAGGCCATGCTAAGCATAAAGACAAAATTTGAATCAATAATCTGTCAAGTGCATGCCTGCCATTTGGCTAGACCGGATAAAGAGGGCACAAGATAAAACAACAAATATTGAACACATAGTCACAGGGAAGAGAAACATTCGCAACATCTCAACTTAACTCTTCAAAGCTTCTTTCCAACACAAGAAAATACTGTACTAAAACACCATAAAAATAATAATAATCCCATAAGATTAAGAAACAAACACAGTTGGCACTGCAATTTTCATACAGCAAAGGCAATCTCTCATAGATGGACAATATTTAGCTAAGCCCATAAAACATTCCACAGATAATTAATAAATTACCTTTGATGTATAATGGTTACTGTCAATTTCTTCATCAATGGAAGGCAAAGAATGTCCTCCCCACTCCACACCAACCATCTCTTTCAAACACAATGTGAATATTAAAAAAGATGGGACTCACAGTAGGAAGAAGCCATATTTTTTAGTATTCAAAACCAGCTATAAAAAGAAGGATTACATCATTGTTCCAACAAAATATGTTGCACAAGTCTCAGCTGAACCTGATTGCTAAAAGAAAACGAGGCTGATATGCCACAACTTGCAATGCAAGCAGTGTCGTATGCATTTTCATATGATGAAAAAGCTGGAAATCAGATTAACCTGCAAAGCATCTGGCTCACAGGTAGAGGCATACAATATCTCCAGACAAATCATCATCAGTGCCTGCTAAAAAAAAGCAAGAATGATCTTCTGAAAACAAAGTTTGCACTTCCGTTGAATGCATCTCTCACCTCAATAATGTCCCTCTAACAATAACGTGAAAAATCTAAAACATGAAGATTAAATGGCACTGATGGATGAACTTTCTTAGCCAAACAAACTACGAGTCCCCAATTCCCCTTGTTGCCACTCCTCCTTACGTTGCTCTTGCAAAGGATCTGGACTCTTCAGCACTCTTCTCATTCGCCTAACAAGATGCAAAAGACCTTATTTAAAAACTTAACAATAAATAAAACCCAAATTACAAAAATAAAACAGCAGTCATGATGTCATTTCGTTTCTGTTGTTCAATACCTGTCTTGAGCATGTTGGGCAGGGAAAGTGGGCATGAAAGCTTTAGTCTTGGGAAGGGGAACTTCGCGAAACCACTCATGGTTAACAGCATCTCCAGCTGTTATACGCTGAAGGTGATATCAGAAGGCTCAATCAATCATACAAAAAAGGAATAATGACAAGGTAACTCAAATAAATACGCAAGCCAAGTTACCTTCTCAGGATCATAAGTAAGAAGTTTATTCAGCAAGTCAAATCCAGCATCAGAGAGAACAGGTGTACCCGTGAATGATGTGGCTGGGAACTTTTTGCGCAATAGATTATACCTGAAAGGAAATATATCAGTCATTAATACAATAAAAAATTAATGTTTTGTTACTGAACTGTCACCAATGGAGGCCACAAAGCCAGAACAGAATCACCCAAAGCTGGAAGCCTGGGAAAACAGTGGGAAAAATAAGATAACGTGAATATTGCACTCAACAGAATCTAAAATCAAATTATATAGATTTAATACTTACTGATGCTTGACAAAGTTGACCTTGACACCAGGCAACTTTGAAAAACCAGGCCATATTGTCTCATTTGGTGTGCCAAGTGTTCTGAAAATCTGCAATTAGTAAAACCCAAGCAACAAATCCAAGATCATTAACCACCATGTGCAGATTGAACTATTCCAGAAATAGTACATCCAGATGGTAGTGGTTAATAAAAAGTAAGACCAACTGCTTTAGTTCACCTTGTCAAGTTGATCAAATTCAGTTTTCCCACTGAAAAGTGCTTCTTTCGATAGTAATTCAGCCATGATACAACCCAGAGACCACATGTCAATTGCGGTGGAATATTGTCTTGCACCCAAAAGAAGTTCTGGTGCCCTGCAAAACCAACCAACATAAAGAAGTCCTGGCTACTTGAATCCCGAAATATAAATGCTCCGATAATTGGTCAACCATACTTGAGACAAATTAACAATACAAAAGCAAAACCTTCAAAACTTTACAAATGTAAAAAACCAGCCATCACTCTAATGTAAAAACCACCTTCATACTTCTCACTAACCACAAAGAGAGAAGTCCAAGTAATAATTCAATCAAGTAAACTTTAAGACATTAACAGTGCAAAAACAAAAGGTTAAGTCTTAAAAGTATATAAACAGTAAAAATAGGATTTGAATTTAAAAAAAGTTTACAAAAACGGAAGTCCAAATAACATCTCATCAAGTCAAGTTCGTACCTTTTCAAAGCTTCCTCCAAGGAACTGTTACCTCAAAGACTTAAGAAGTTCTACTATTCATCACTTACACAGATAACAATAACAAAAAGCGGGGATGTTTCCTTCAATAATTAAGATTCAACACTTACATACCCATATTCACATTTCAGAATTATTTTCCATACATCCAATCACAAACAGCTTATGAAATTATAGTCTATAATGATGAAGAGAAAAAAAATCAGTCATAATTATTTCATCAACAAATATGAGGATTAACACATTTAGGAAATGGCATGTATATCTCACCTGTACCAAAGAGTAACCACCAAATGCGTATATGGTTTTAACGGGATTCCATAATGACGAGCCAACCCAAAATCACAAATCTTCAATTCACCTTGGTTATTTAAAAGAAGATTAGATGTCTTCAAATCTCGATGGAGAACCCAGTTATCATGAAGATACTTGACACCCTCCAGTAGCTGCAGCATCAAGCATTTAACTTCACTTTGGCCGAATGGTTGTTTTATTGTTTCCATCAGCCCTTTCAGATCGTGTTCCATGTATTCCATCACCATAAAGATACTATCAAGGCTACTGCCTATAACTACTTCTTTAACATCTACAACCGATGGGTGATGAAACGAAAGAAGAATGTTTATTTCCCTCAGAGAGGTCAGAGGAAAACCTTCTCTTTCTTTCTCCATCTTTACCTTCTTCAATGCCACAATTTCCCCCGTCTTCTTGTTCCTAGCTCTATACACAACGCCATAAGTACCTTCATCTATCTTATTTAGTCTCTCAAATTCATCTACACTCCTACATCCCTGAAGCATGTTTACACTTCTCAAAGGAGAAACTGGAGGTTCTGGCATTCCAGGTGAATCATTTTCATTCTCAGAATCTGTATTGGACTCCCTAACACTACTGTCATTTCTATCACATTCAACGTCAATCTCCATGTAGTCATTCTTCTCTGAATAATTACCTGGGTAATCATACCCACTTCCAGACCTGGAACGGGCAGCTCGTTCATCAGATTCAGATGATCTGGCTCTAGTTCCCTCTGAGCCTTCCCCGTTAAGCTCCTCAAGCTCTGGTGTTGTTGACTTATTCTGAGATCTTTCATGAGCAGTTTCTGAAACAGGCAACTTTTTCCTCGTTTTAGGCATTTTCTCATCTTCAAAAATTTCACCCTCATCACCAGGAGAACTACCACCAGATGCCCATCTAGAGGAAGATATATGTCGGGTTGGTACATAATCTTCTAGTTTCCCAGTATCTTGATTGTTAACCTGCTCTTTTGGTGGAGACAAATCCAAATCGACTGGAGACTCCAAAGCAGAGTATCCAACAATTTCAACAGCAGCAGCAGCAACTGGCGAAGGAGATTGTGATTTATCCTTTTTGCTTTCTCTAACAGAAGAAGTCAGTACGGTCCCACCCGATATCTTGTTAGGTGAACTGCGATGAGCTTTAGGCACTATTGGTGGAGGAAAGGCTATGACTGCTGATGACTTCCTACTTTTCGATGCGGTGCTTAATTCCTTATCATCTATATCCCATACTATAGGTGAAAACTTCCTTTTCTTTCCCACAAGAGACTGAGCATCATTATCCATTGCTTTCACAGCCTCACTATTTCTAACCACCGACTCATACTCCATGGCATCTTCTGATTCGCTTTCACTAGACAACTCACCAGGTTCCTTATCTATTACCCTAAGAGAAAACCCACATCGCCTGGGACCACGACTACCTCTGCCACCAGTGCCATCAGAATCGCTTCTACTCGAAGAGGGCCAATAGCCACCATTTACAGCTTCCCTCTCCTTAGTTTCCTTTTGTCTTACCCTAACTCTATCTCTTGCCTCCTGTACTCGAACCCTTTCGTCATTACGGCTATCATTCCTAGATGACTCATAATCTTTAGAATTACCAAATTCTCGCCTCATCACCTCAAATTCAGAATCCCTCTTCCTAAACCCATTATCATTATAACCCCCATTCCTCCCAGCAGCCATGAATAAACCTCAAATAGTCGGAAACCCAATTTCCAATTCAAGAATTTCCTTCTGAGTTGTTCGCTTATAAACCCTGAACCTTCGTAAACAAGAAGCACGGCCCCAATTCCAAGGAAAAGCAAAACCCAGTAGTTAATCAATACGAAATCATCCTATGACAAGCAATCAGAACATCCGAACCAAATAAAAGTATCGGATCCTCGATTTTCGAGATGAGTAACTCGAAAATGATCAGATTACAATAGAAAATAAAAGACAAGACGAAGCGGATAAACCCTAGAAGGTCAAAATTTTCAACGATGCATCGATTATCCCTAATTCTCTCAACCAAATTACGAGAGAAAAGAGAATTGAGAGTATCTATGGCTTACCGGTGAGGAAAAAACATGGACGCAAAAGGTGAAAGTCGGCGATTGCCGGTTCGCTTGATGGGTGGGTACGGAGTTTTCGATTTTCGAAATCTCGAGAAAGCCAAGGCCAGAAAACGCTGTGTTTTATTTTAGTTGGAGGCAAACAAAATTCCTTAAATTATTATAAATTAATTAATTGCAATTTTAAAATTATGGGTGAATTGCATTATAGACCACTGAACTTAGTTGTAACTTTCAAAATAGATTAAAAATATTTAATTCATTAAATACATCTTCCAACTTTAATTATAATAAATTAAATCATTTATATTACTATCGTCAATTTATTTAAAATAAAAATTAATATTAAATTGACATTTAAATGTAATTTTAAGCCTTTCTCACACTATATTACACCTCACATTTTATTTTTAATATTTTTCTTTCAAATTGAAGTGATTTATTTTTATACGACAAAATGATCCCACCATTCATTTTTATTTATGGAAGTGATCCTACTAACTCAGCTTATTGGATTCAAATCCCGATCTTATTCTACTTCTTTATAAAATGAATGATGTAAAATCTTAAGGGTCGAAATACTAATTAGTTCTATCGAAATCTCACAATTAAACGTACTTGAAATCCGTATTAAAATGGGTGATCACCGGGGAAATCCTCGTATCGAGCTTGCTTTATTTGCTCTGTCAGATAAATTGTTTGGTTAAAGTTGCATCTCTTTAAACGATCATACCATTTCCAAGTCTATGATGCCTTATTGTTGTTTCAAAAGATGAGGGGAAGTAAACATACATGGCGCAAGTTCTGAAGCTTAATAAATCGACGGAGGCGCTAGAAGAGGAAATAGTTCCGAGACAACGGAACCGTCGTCGCGGGACCAGAAGCGAGAACCTCGCCATCAGCTCTCACGACGTATGTTTCGGGATCTACGTCGATCTGCGGGAGAGCATCATTGAGCTTCATGTCAAGCTTGGTTAGACCTCTGACGTTGCTTACAGCTTCTAGTCTCTTCTTCAGTCCGTACGACTGTATGGTTCCGCTATCTAATGCAGCCTGTTTCGAGAAGGAAAGAAAAGGGTTGATGCAACTCTACTTGTTCATCTTGCATGGTTGAAACTGGAAAACCCTAAAACACAAAACCGAACTCAACTGTAACGTTTGCTCGGGTTTCAGTTCGAGTTTTATTGGATATGATTCAGTTTTGGTCTGGATAATAATTCAACATATCTGGTTCGGTTTCTCTATAGGACTGTAATTATTAGAATCAAATCAAATTCTTTATTGTTATAACACAAAATCTTACTTTAAAACTGATGAACCAAATAGTTAAGCACTTTTTACTAAAGGAATTACATTATTTTTTTTCTAAAAAAATATTTAAGCTCGGGTTAGATTTTTTAAGGAATATACCGGGTCGGATGCTGGTGGAGGGTGAAAAAGCTTTGATCTGTCCCAATGATAATAATGTAATTTCCTTTTTAAAAAATCATTTTTTAATTTAACCCTTATTTTGTACCCGGTTGGGTCGGATCGGATGAAGGAAGGATATATAATTTCAATTCGGGTCGGAATACTCTAAAATTTCGCGTTAGATCGGAGTAGGTATAAGATATATTTTCAGGTCGGGTCGGATGAATTGACCAAAAACTTGACCCTAACCTGACCCTTTGTCTCTAGGTATAAGTAATATTTAAGACTTAGGGGCTGTTTGTTTGGCTCTGAATGGAATCATTCAGCGTTGAATGCTGAACCGTTCAACATTCAGCGCGTTTGTTTCTCAACTCTGAATGATTCAGTGTTGACTGATTCAGCAAAACAGTATTGAATGATTCAGCACAGAAGTACATTCTGAATGATTCAGAGCTATTATCAAACAACATGTCACATTCAGAACTTATTCATACAGAGCTTCTGAATCATTCAGTATTTAAAAATGAGATTATTTAAAATAATTACAGGTAGATGAGACTTCAAGTAAATTAAAAATGAAATTTGGTCAATATCGAATCGAGTTTCAAACTTTAAAATTTAAATCAGATTTAGAGGGGTTAAAACTACTGTAAAACTCGATTCGAATTCGATTTTACTTGGTGATAAATCTTAGCCAAAACTGAATTTGGCTGTAAAAAGAAATGTGAACCAGTTTGGTCCCAACTTTGAAACGAGATTTAATCAAAATGACTGCATGTGGATAAGGTCGCACACAAACTTGACGATCACGTTCCGGAAAAAGCTAAGCGAGCGATTAACCAAGCCCGACATTTCGATCACACGGCAGTGGAACATGCTCGGAAGCTAGTCGACGAGGCTCGAACCGAGGGGCCGCAAGGAACGTTGCGCTACGCCGTGGGCGAGTACAAGCAGCTCTTTGCGGTATGCTCAACCTAGTTGTGTGTCAAACTTAATCACAACTCCGTTTTCCACTCGGTGACCGAGAAGGTCGTTCCGGTGGCGGCTAATTTGTCCGGTAGGTATAACGGTTTAGTTAATGACATTAGTGGCAAAGGGTACCTTTTGTTGGTTATAACAAAATCTTCATATGATCATAGATCATATTCGAGTCATATTCAAGTTCGAGTTGAGATTAATTTTCTTGTTTTTGGTAAATAGAAATCTAAGTAAATTTGTGCATTTTCTGTTGTTATTAGTAGAGGCAAGGCCAAGTTTTCCATTGTAAATTAGACGTACGTTTTTAACTCTTTGCTTGTAAATACGAGTAAAATATGAATACCAGGTATAAAAACAGGTAAAGTACATAAATGCCTCTAATTATACGATATTATTTTATTAAACTTCTTACTATTAAAATTTATAAACTAGTCCTCTAACCATAGGAAGTTGTTTTGTTGAGTACATTGACTATTAAAAAAATACAAAATGATCACTCAACTATTTATTATATTTCAAACTCGTCCTTTTTCGTTAAAAATTTGACAATTGTATGAGTTGTACGTTAACATATTGATTGAGATATGATAAAATCTTATCTCATAATCTCAAACGACTATCATATCTCAGTCATCATGTTAACGTCCAACTCGTATGACCATTCATTTCTTAAAGATTAATCGTTGAACGTAAATTATTTAACTTCTTAATTTGTAAATTTAATTGATTTTATTTCTCGATTTAAACATTAATGTGATATATGTATACACTAAAGAATTATATACATTAAAACTATAAAGAATAGAATAAAGCTATGTAAAGGAGTTATAAAAGTAATCAATTTAAATTTAAAAGTTTTTTTTCTTCTTTAAACAGAAAATAATAATAAAACTTTTGATTATTTAATAAATATTTATTTTCTTGTTTCCATAATCAGGTGTTTGAGACCAGCTAGTCTGCATTAATTTGCTAATTATATAATAAGGTCATATAAGGTCATATGGTGCCCGGCTGGATGGCAGATTTTGGTTTATGACAATGGCAAAAATTCTAATTTGGTTTATTATATTTTTAGGTGTTTAAATTATATTTTAAAATAAAATTTTAATGTTTAAATATTTTTTTGTTAGAAACATGTGCCTAATGTTTTCTTTATTAAATTTTTAGTTGTTTACGATTAAAAAATCGTTAAATAACACGTGTTAAATTTATATTTTTTATATCCTAAAAATTATGTCGTGTGAAGCTTCCCTAAAACTTTTTTTTATTAAACTAATGTGATTACAAAATAGTATTAGTTCTAAATACTCTCAATCATTTGAGAATGAACGTTTAACCACCCTGATGCAATCGCTGGTGCTCGAACCCGTAACCTCTAGGAACAACAACGATTTCTTTAACCATTAAAGTAATTAGTTCGTGCAAAGCTTCGCTAAAGCTACGTAAGGTGCATATAAATGAATGTAATACTCAATCAATTTCGATAGGGCCCAAAATAGACCGATGACCATCTCTAATATTAACACAAGGATGGATGAACTCGGTAATAATTCAATCAAAATACCCTGAATGTTAATTATCTACAAATTCAAGGGTTGGTTTTGCCTCGGATTTACTTAAATCGAGTGGATTCGAGATCTAAAAACTCTTGAATTCAGGCCAGGTTTTCGAGTTAAGATTAAAATTGATATGTCTATATATGTGGAATATAAGCATGCATGCTTCAAAAAGAAAAACAACCTATAATCCAAGAATTAGAGCAAGGTCTAGCCTGATAAAATTTTCTGACACTTTCCCCAGAAAATAACACAGGGCCCTAAACTAATTAATGTCTTCAACTCAATTCAACAATTTTCAGCCTTTTTCCAACCATTTTCATGGGGAATCAAATTCATTCAAATAAACTGTACACACACATCTTTCGTAATCCACTATACTGAAATGCAACTTTTCTCGCTAAATTCAACAAGATTCACCAATTCCATAACCATGGAAGACAAAATTCATGAAAATCAATCATCAAGGAGAAAGAGTTAACTCGGAATTTCATATATTCATAGAAATTTCAACCCCAGAATTGTTAATCTTTTACAACAAAATTCTTCAAATTCTTAACGTAGAATTCACAACACAGTTGTAAAGATTACAATTCACCGAACTCTATGATCTTTTCACCGCTATTATATTACATAACTAAATTTCCAAAAATATAAGAGTTTATAGGCAAGAGTCAATACCAGGTAACTTAGAAGCCACGGTTCGTCGGTTGACGAACGGAAATCTGGACCGGAAGGGGACGACCGGAACCGGACCCACCGCAGCTGCTGCAAGCCATTCGACCCGACCCGGCGCAAGTCCGACAGCCGACATCTCTATCGGACCAACGGGAACAAGTGCACGCGATGCGACCCGTGCCGTTGCAAGTCGGGCATCTCGGAAACGGGCCGGCCATGGGTTTTTGATCCATGACGGATTTGACTAAGACGGCGCCGGCCAAGACGCTCAAGCCGGTGGCTACCTGAGTCAATACGTTCGGAAACATGTCGCCGGAGAAGATTTTTTCTCAATTCAACTGGATATGGAGCAGTGAGAGGAAGACGAAAGGAACTAATAGCAGCAGAAGAAAATGAATAAATTTGAGAAATAAAATGGGAAAATATTTGAATTTTTTTTTTTAGAAAAATTAAAATAATTGGCTGTGAATTTGAAGTAAAAATAAAATAAAAGCGGCATTCGAATTCTACACGTTAAGCCTTTGGGTTTTTGGTGGTGCATATGGGGCTTTGGATTGTAGCTGAGGTGATATATGATTATTTTCACGTTATCCCGCGTGATAGGACGGGATCACAATAGGTCGAGTTAAATCGATTTTTTATTAATTTAATTTAAAGTTTATTTTATTTTATTAGATTCAAAGATATATATAAAAATTTGGACTTAACTCAAATAATTTCTCATTTACGGCACAATAGTAGGACTATCGAAACCTAGATTCCCGTCGCACTGTGTCACCGGTGTTCCTCCGATCGTCTCAAGTTTCTCAACGGCTCAAACCTCTTCCTCTAATGGGTACAAATATGGATTGGCAAAAGCTCTTTGGATGCCAAGAGAGGCAAGAACTCCAATATTTTCTCCCAAAATCCAGCGAAAAAAATCCCTATTATTCAACCTCCGCATGAACTTTTCGAGGCAGGCTCAGTGTAATATCCTTAATATCGGATTAGTGACTAAATTATAAAATTTTAGAATTTGGGGATAAAAGTAGAAAAGTTAAATAGTTCAATGATTTATGTGGAGATATTTCCTGAAAGTTATTAGTAATTATTAAAGGAGATTAAGGGCAAAATGGTCTTTGTAATCTAAAGATAATTATCTTATTTCTTTATTAAGAGATAAGCTTGTGGGGAGAGTTATCTGGAAAACTCTTCTCCCTTCTTCTTCCTCCTCCACGTGAGAGCTCAAGCAAAGGTAAGATTTCTTGTTGTTGATTATTAGATGAAATTTAAGGTTGAGTTTTGATTATTAGGTAATAATTAAGCATAAGAAGAGCTTAAATTATCTTGAAACAATAAGATGAAGAGAATAGATGGAATTAAAGAAAAGAGAGGAATAAGTGAAATCTTGAAAGAGGGTTCTTTAATGAGGTTTTAGAGTGAATTTGATTTGTCATCAATCTAATTAACATGTATGAAGTGTTAGAATTGGATTTGTAACATGTTAAAATTTGGGTATGATTCTTGAATTTCTTAAGGAGAATAGGATATGGAGGTTAAAGAAGTGATTATTGAGTAGAAATGAGTGCGAATATGTTTATGTAAGTTAGGAATATGAAAGGGGATGAAATATGAAGCATTTGAGTTGAATTAAATGGATTTTTGGGCTTAAAATGCAAATTCTGGGCAAGGTGTATCGATGCACATTGAATGTGCATCGTGTGCATCGATGCACTCTTTAAAGAAGAAACATCGAATGCAATTGGTGCATCGATGCATAAGGAGTGCATCGATGCATCCCCCTTAAAATGAAAACATCGAAGGTAATTTGTGTATCGATGCATGGGTAGTGCATCGATGCACATGTTAAAGAATGCATCGATGCACTGTAGAATGCATCGATGCACTTCAAGGGGAAATTGAAATAGACACTTCTTTTGGTCTAAGAAATGATAGATTAGTGAATATCAATTGGATACTGATATGTATCAATGTATGATTATATAAAATATCGATCACGAACAAGTCCGGGTCGATTGGCAAGTTAAGATTCGATCGAAAGAGAGGAAAATCATAAAGTGTATTGGAACGTAGTGAGGCCAAGGTGAGTGCACATTAGATAGTGTATTATGTATTAATGGAAATAAGACTTGTGACAAGTCTATTTCCTATAGTAGAATGCATGAATTCATTAATATGAGCATATGTTTGACATGTTATGTGTGTGTTATTGATTGTTACATATGTTAATGATATGAGTGAATAAATGTTTATATGATACATGTTAATTGTCCATGATATATGCACACATGATAATATGATATAAGTTAAATTATGTAATATAATACATAACTATGAGATAAGTGAAAAAATGTATATATGATAGAGATTATGTATGTGATAAATGAATGATATGAAAAGTGACATGAACTACGTGAAAAGAAGCTACCTGATTACAGGTACATGTGAAATAAGTTATGAGTTTATAAGAACATGTGATATGAATGTGTATATGTGATACTTGAAAGTGAATCATATTATTATATGAATATGAGAAATGATATGATAAAAGCTACGAGCATATGAGATATGACTATGTGAAACGATATAAAAGAGAATGCCCATGTAAGTGTTAGGGAGAGCTAGAGGTATAGTTGGCATGCCAAGAGTCAAGGGTCTACACGGTCCTTCGGGACATAGTGGTCCTTTGGGACATAGTGGTCCTTCGGGATATATGTGTTATATGTAGTCCTTTGGGACATCTACGTGGTCCTTCGGGACAAATTCTATGTGCCCCTAGTGGGAATTATACGAGCTGTGGTGACAGCATAGTGCACAACCTCAATAGACTCACATATCTACAGTTCTCACATGTGTACATGGGCTAATAAAGAGATAATTGTGAAATCAATATATGTGATATATGTATATGAATTGCATGATATGATATATGTGTGATATGGGTTATTGTATTTGTTACATGAATATATGTTGATGTATATGTGACTGAGTATAAATGACTTATATATGATGATATAAGAATTTGTTATAAGTTATAGAATATGAATGTAAGAGATCATATGAATAAGAAATAAGAGATATGAAGTATAATAGTATAAGAGCAAGATAAAAACATAAATGATGATATGTATGTAATTGTTATATGAAAAGCATATGAGTGAGATGATTTGATATGATGTGTATGATATGATAATAATAGTTTTTCCTGCATGATTACAAGTTAGAGTTTACATTATATATTTATTCATCTCACTAAGTCATAGACTTAGCGTGTGAGTGTTTCACACGCAGGTTCTTACAAGCTTATGGATTGTTGAGCTGCAAGTCAGGTCAACATTTTTCCTTACAAAGTTTCAGATCAGAAAATAGATGATTTAAATGTATTTTATGGTATAAAAGTCTAGTTGGCATGTATTTAAAAGATTTGAATTGTATAAGCTCTGAATAGTTTTGTAAACGTTTTGAATAAGTTATATGTTATAAAAGTTTTTAAATTACTCACTATTTTATACAAGTAAATGTTTTAGAAAGTCAATGTGACACCTCAGACTCGGATCCAGGTCGGATTCGGGTTGGGGGCGTTACATTTAATGGTATTAGAGCTACGGTTTAACCGATTCTAGGCTAAAAACGAAGTAAAAAAAGTGTTTTAAAAAGTACACATGCCAACACAAAGTGGGAAATTTTCTGATCTGATAGGGTAAGGAGTGTGATGTCTTGTTAATTAGTTAAATTATTATGTTATATAAGATAAGTGAATACTTGAGAATGATTTATGAGATATATATGTTTATAGGATATGATAGAAGATATATGAACATATGCAAATGACATATGTTATATGATATGAATTAGATGATCATATGCACACGTGATATGTGATAGAAGAAATGATATGAGCACATGAATCTATGAGAGCTTCTAAAGTGAAGCACAAGGCGATAGACCTGAAGGTAATAACATTCACCTACCTTGGCCAGGCAGGGAGAAGAGCGAAAACCTTAGGGAATGCCTGTATATGATTAAATAATGAATCATGATGTAGAAAGGTGGTCCAATGTGTTTTCAATTATATACTTCGTTAAGTCATAGAATGAATGTATCGAAATAGTTAAAAGAGTTATGATCACCCGAGCTCAAGGGTGAATTTGAGGAAGGTTCTGTTGTTACAGACCTTTGGATAAATGATATTAAAATAATACTAGAAGATGTTCATTTATCCAAAGTGGAGAAATTAAATTGAGAAGTTCGTTATTATGTGGATAATATAGAATATGGTGAACAAATGTCACCATAAGAATGTTAAAAGATCAAGTGATGTGGTTAGAATTTGAAAAGGGATTCAAGAATAAGTGCATCAGTGATACGTTTATAAGATGAATGAAATCAGAGTTATGGATATGAAACCAAGGGGTAGTACTGTGTATAAGCAAGAGTGTGGAAATAATAAGGGTTTGTACTCTAGAAGAAAGAGTTAGCGTTGGCTAACAAGGTTACACGATGAAAAAATGTGTTGATCATATGAATGCGATATAGTGAAGGAAATAACGATTCTTATGTTTGAGGGAAAGTAAGAATTGAAAGAGAAGTATAAATTAATATGAAAAGATCATGTGCCTTAAAGTACATATAAGAATTAAGGAAATGATGAAAGGTTGGATGTATATGATTGGTTAATTAAGGCTTGTGCTCTAGATTGAACAATTGTTATTGACTAGCCGTAAGAGTAAAGGTGATAGAGTTAAAAAGATTGGAAGAAAAGATAAAGAGAGTTAATTAAGTATGATATGAATTTGAATATGGTTTTGTATTTGGATTATATAGATATGATGAAGACAAAGAGAAGAGTATTTACAAGTTTTAAAGAGAGCTTTGAGGAAGAAAAAATATAAGTGCAAGAAATGGTGAAGAATAAGGTTCTGTATAAGTAAAACTGATTATTAAAGTTATAAAGATTGGATAAAGTTGTGAAAGCAACATAAGAAAATTAAAAGATATGTTTTTATTGGTATGTACAATGAAAATTCGAGGACAAATTTTCTTAAAATGATGGGAGATTTGTAACATCCTCAATATCCAGTTAGTTACTAAATTGTAAAATTTTAGAATTTGGGGATAAAAGTAGAAAAGTTGAATAGTTTAATGATTTATATGGAGATATTTCCTTAAAGTTATTAGTAATTATTAAAGGAGATTAAGGGCAAAATGGTGTTCGTTATCTAAAGATAATTATCTTATCTCTTTATTAAGAGATAAGCTTGTGGAGAGAGTTATCTGGAAAACTCTTCTCCCTTCTTCTTCTTCCTCCACGTGAGAGCTCAAGAAAAGGTAAGATTTCTTGTTTTTTGATTATTAGCTTAAATTTAAGGTTGAGTTTTGATTATTAGGTGATAATTAAGCATAAGAAGAGCTTAAATTATCTTGAAACAATAAGATGAAGAGAATAAATGGAATT